GGGCCCCCCGGGGGGCCCCCCGGGGGGCCCCCGCTGCTCGCCAGGCTGCGAGCCGCCTCCTCCGCAGAGCCCAGGCCCTCCTGCTGCGCGAACTGCTGCAGCGCCTCCCGCAGCAGCTGCTGCTCCTCCTGCGTGAAGGGGCCCTTGCGGTACTTGAGCCCGCTGCGCGCATGCATGCGCCACAGCCCCTTCTCCCCAGGGGCCCCCAGAGCCAGCAGCTGCTGCTGCTGCTCGCTGAAACTCTCTTCGCCTCTGTTGGCCACTTGCGAAAAGCCCAGGGGCAGCTGCGAAGGGGCCAGCGCCGGCCTGTACACCGGGTCTTCGCGGGGCATGAGAATCCGCTCCGCCTTCGGGGGCTTCCGGGGGCCCTCTTTTTTTTCTTTCTTCTCCTTCAGCTGCTTCCCTCCCTCTCTCTTGCTGCAGCGACGAGCAGCAGCAGCAGCAGTGGCGGCGGCGGCGCTGCTGCTGCCGCCGGTCGTCGCATCCTCCGCCGGCTCGGTCTTCACCGTCAGACGACGCAGCCACGCCTCCGGCGAATCCGCCGGGATTTCCTCCGCCCGAAGCCCCGAAACCATCAGCAAACTCCAAACAATTCAAAAACAATTCGAAAACAGCGCGAGATCCGCGCGAAAAGCCGAAGATCTCGCCGAAATCCGCGCGGAACCCCCAGTGCTAGGGCCACCGCCACCGACACCACGCAGCTGACGCCTCCAGCGTTTCCGGGGGAACCCCGGGAAACAAACCATGCTAACTCGCTGATAATATCTGAAATTGCGTCATTTCGCACAAAATCAAAGTCAGTGGGTCTTCAGGATTGTTTTTCTGGCATGCGGCGAACCAGGCCGCAGAGCACGCCACCCAGCCCCACCGTGGAACTGCTCAGTGTTGCCTGCGAAGGCCTGAAATGGCACTTTCATTCGCCTTTTTTATTTAGTATTCTCTCGTCTTTCATTCCAGTTATTTCAGTTTCTTATTTGCAGCAATAGATCTCTGGCTTGACTCCGGATCCGTTGAGGCTTCCAAGTGGCTGCAGGAATGCATGCGCAGCGGATACAAATTTCGCGAATTTCGCAACTTAGTTTCATTATTAAAATGCCAAATTCTATTTTAATTTGTTGCTGCTTGAAAATTGCCATTCACTGCAACTGTGCTGCCGGGCGATCCTGCTTCTTGCAGAAGGCCGCATGTGTGCGAGTGCTAGATCCCTTCGCTCGCCTCCAGTGTCACAACCAAATAAAACAAAATGTTGTATTTAGAGTTTCGACAAAATCGCCGACGCAAATATTTCGCATTGTAGCTCTTTCGGGAAAAGTCTCAACATTTCCCACGCGGCGGAAGCTGCAAGCCACAACGACCCCTGCTTTCCTATTTCCTGCTTTCACGAGGCACGAGCCGTAGGCAGCTGTGGCTAGCTCCACCCATGTACAGCTAGCTACAGCTGGCCGTATCTAACCGTAGCTAACCGTAGCTGGCTGTAGCTGTAGCCGCCTGTGGCTAGCCGTCATTGGCTGTAGCAAGCTGTAGCTAGCTGGAGCTAGCTGTGGCTAGCCGTAGCTAGCCGTGGCTAGAATATACCTTCACTGAGGTTTTGAACTAAGTAGATGCGCCAAGAATGCATCGGGCAAAGCAGCTGGCTCTCAAAGGCCTGCTAGTCGATTCCCCTTTTCCTTTTCTCTTAAGGAAATGGCAGAAAGGCAAAAACATAACGGCCAAATTCAAATAAAACACTCAATAAATGAATAAACTGGTGGGCAAAACAGGAAGAAATTAATCCATATAATTCCAGTAGACGTACATGCTTATTTGCAAACACTTGAGGAGATCCACACAGCCAGGACTTTCTCCGTTTCAGCCTTCTTCGCTTACATGTTTCAGACAAAGGAGAAAAAAAAGGAAATGGGAAAGACGCAGCCAGCCCCTTTTACTGAAGAAACCTGAAAGGTTTCTTCAGTAAACAGCAGATTACTAATGAGAAAGCTCACTTTGAATTAGTGCAGAAAGCTACAACCAAATCTTTCTTAATTTGTTTCCCGGGTCTTTTTCATTGCCATTTGGCGTGGAGAACAGGCGAAAACGAAAATATTTGAATAGTTCCCACTTTCAAAGACGAAAGTAACTGAACCCAGCATGTGTGCAGGGAGCAGGAAAGGCGCGAACAAGCAAATCCCGCATACATCCCGCATGCATTTAAACATGAACTCAAACTTAATAAACATAATTTGGTTGAATAAAACCAAAAAACTTTTTGCCTTGACGAGATAAACTAATCCCTGCATTGACCATCGACAAACAGTGGCTTCCGAATCCAGCCAAAAAATATGCACATAACTGTATACTAAATGCAATAATAATGCAAAAAATGTATACTAAATGCAATAATAATGCAAAAAATGTATTTATGTTCTGTGTAGACAAGTAATTCAGAGATAAACATGCATCGAACTCACGCGGACGCAAACAACTCCGTATAAGCATGCATACATGCACCCCGCCGCTCAACTAGATGTTCTCGTGGAATGCTCAAAGTATTTCCTGTTTAAAGATTATCCTAAGAGGCTATTTAAATGCGGATGTGCACCTTCTAGCCTGCGCAGCCTGAAATCTACATCTCAGCGGCATTCAAAGAGCGCTTCAGGCCGAGAAAAGCTGCAGCAGCGATACAACTCCCGCAGTCTGCAGAAGCCATACAGATCACTTATTGCTGCAGCTTGACTTCCCTACTAAGGGTCCGTTATTACACACAGCGCCTAGGGTACTCGCAATGAGCCCGATCTCACAGAAAGCCACATCTACTGAGATTGAATGTAACACACTTGTGCACTGATCTGCTGGAGCCTCAGCTCAGCCTCTCCTGCTCTTCATTTTGAGGGCTTAAGCGCCTGTGCTGTGGCTGAAGCCGTCAACCGTGAAGCAAGCTGCAAGGATGCCTCTGCGCGGAAGTTCACAGAAGCGCGGGAAACTGGGCGTGTGCTGCTTGCCCTGCCCGCCCTTACTTGGGCTCTGCCGCTAAAACCATTTCCTTTATATGTTCTCTTCTTTTTGAGCGCAAAAGGGGTTGAAAAACGCCGGAAGTTAGGCCGGATACTCTGGCAGAATGTGGGGCACCGCGGCCACGCCGGCGTCTCACCCTGCGCCCCTGCGCTTATTTTGCGCGTCCCTTTTGCTTTTGCAAGAAAAGATTGAAGAAAATTGCTGGCTTTGAATTTATTGGGGAGCCAAGGGGGTTGCCCGCGGGCGCTGCGGGTTTGTCTGCATGCAGGGGAAGTTGAATGGCGGCTGCCGCGGCGGCTGCGGCGGCCTCTGCAGCGCTGTAGATTTACGCTGTTTCCCAAGCTTTTCTTCGGCGTAGGTATTTGCATTTTGTTTGCGGATTGCATTGTTGGAGCCCATGGACAGCTGACAGGTGAGGCTGGAGAGCTCAGCTGCCGCCACCGCAGGAGCCGCGGCCGGCCGCGTTGAATTTCGCGCTGCAGCGTTGCGATTCGAAGGACTTTGGCGGACTTTGAGGCTTTTTCTTGAATTGCAACACAAAGAGCTTCCGTTCCACGCGAGACGCAGCTGCAGCAGCGCAGCAGGGCTGTCGGGCGAGCTGCAGCACTTGGCCTGGGATTGCAGTAGTTGCCGCAGGGGCTTTCCCCGCGCTCTCCCTGCGGGCTTGCGTTAGCGCTTCTGGCCGCGATGGAGAACGGCGACGGCCACGGCGGCTCCGGCAGCCCCAGCAACAACAGCAGC